ACTGTGCAAAAAGTGAACAAACTTTATTGAGGCAACGGTCTGTTACTCATATTCAAAATGACAGCAAGTATCTACTACACGTAGGCATATAGATTGAGAATATTCACGCCTTATTGCAAGAATTGTGTACCATATTTGTCCACTAGCTAGTAACACACTCATTTACTTTTGTAATTCTTTTGGTTAAAAAAATAAGAATAATTAATTATTATTGTTAAAATATGCGTATCAAAATCAACTGGGCTAGCTTATAGTTGGAAGGAAATTTGTCACTAATTTGCAGTTTTTGCTGAAACTCGCCTTGAGGACGTAGATCTTTCTAAACCTCAGCCATTCAAGTACTTTATCAGCTTTTGTCCATAAGGACCGAGGAAATCCAAGCCAAGACTGAAGAGTAAACTACGCAAACAGCAATAAACACTTTTTGACTACAATTATTTGGTACACTTAATAGTTCTTTTGCATGTGCAAAAATTTATGTGTTACTGTACAGTTTTTGCTTTGTTTTATTTGAATTTGAGGAGGGTTTTTTGCGTTAAGAGTTTGGGGGGGGGGGGCTTATATTTGGAGGGGCCTATTTTGAGAATTTTACGGTATTTACCCTAACATGTTTTTAGAAAAAATGTGCACGCGACAACCCGAAAGGTAATATGGGATATAATCAATACACTGTTTCTGGCACTGTAGCTGTCGAACCTACTTTTTTTGCTTTCCTTGAGCATTTTTCGCAAACTTACGTCCAAGGCTTCTCATGCCATTCTTTCAATTTAACAATTAGTTCATACGTCAGCGTGCGTATGTCGAGATATAGGGAGCTTTAGCATCGACGACGGCAACGGCAGCGAAAACGTCAGTTTTAAAATGAATTCCCGTTTTTTCAATCTTTGTCGCGTTTATTCCAATTTGCTGAAAATGGGACGTGTAGGCGAATTTCCCTGGAGTTGATTTCTTGAGGACCGCACTCAAGTTTAGAGAGAGTAAAAGAGATTCGTCGTCGCTTGTTTACGTTCTCCTGTTTAAACTTCAAAAACGCTGCGCTCGATTAATTTTGGATAGTCCTCGGGATGCAAGATCGTATGATGATTTTCAAAAGCTTAAATGGCTACCGGTTGACCAACTATTCAAGCTCAATAAACTCGGCCTTTTAAAGAAAGTTATTGATGGTAGGGCACCGGAATACTTAATTACCAATTATCTCAATGGAAGAAGGCCTAAAGCCCAACTATGTTATTTGCAAAGCAAAATTAAGTAGAATCGAGTCACTTTTCAGGCAATAGTTCTGGATTTTGCCTCGGCTGATATTTCAATGTCACATAGTAGCCTGTCAGTCTCTCTATAATGACTTAGAGCCCATGCAAAGAATATGAGGATGATTATACCTAGAAAGTTCTTTTTTTACCAGATGAGCTTGCCGACAAAGAACATGCATGCATGAGAGAATCATGAGAGACATTTCACTGATCTTTAACGAATTTTGAGTTGCTCCTTTGTGATTTATGTGCAACTTCATGACTGGATTTTGGAAAACCGGGCTGAGAAAAAAATCGACTCATTCTACTTCTTGGCAACTTAAAACAATAAACAATCATTCAAAGGCCATTAATAAGCCTTTGGGATTACTTACTTTCTTACTTAGATAAAATTAAACAAGTGCGCGAACTCAAATTCAGTAAATCAAATCATTTGTTTGACGACGATGCTGTCATACAGTATTAATACTACAAATAAGTATACCATGGTCCATGAAAGCGATCAGAGAAGATGCGTATAAATTAAGATCAAATCGATAAACATATTCTATCAACTTTAGTGTAGGGCAAGGAAGAATAAGTCTGGCATTCACAGGTTATGTATAATCAGTCTACAGTACTAGAAATGTGAAATTTTTAAGTTATTTAGATTATATTTTAAACTTAGTACCTTTTTACCTTGGCTCACTAGTTCGTATTTTTTAGGAAATCTTAAGAAAAATTTGTATTGTATGTTTTCTAATTGTCATTCACCCCCCCCCACCCAAAAAAAAACAACAACAACAACAACAAAAAAGAGCAAAAATAAAAAGAGTGAAGTGCGCGAGAATTTTGAGGAGGCGCCATGTTGGTGACAAGGTTGTAGATTCGAGCTTCTTAGGGCTTGAACTGAAGTTGACAAGCTTAGGACGGCTTAGTATAATCAACAAACCTTTGCAAATTTGTTGACCAGGTTGCCACAAAATTGTTCGCAGTAAATTAAACCTCGCTGCAAGTATCCCCCACAAAGCTTGAATAAAGAAGTGCAAACATGTCTCAATAAGAAGTTTCAAAATCTGCTGCAAGGCTTTTTTAAATATTTTGCGTTTTACATATGTAGAGGATTTATAACCGTATGTAAAGACTACTCTGTAGAGATTTTTCTTGGTCAATAATTCCAAAGACTCCTGCTCGTACAGTGGTCGTTGATCTTAACACGGTTTAAATTTTAGGTTGTTGATTTTCAAAGATGGCTCAAAATACGAAACGGGAACTCGACAAAGCTATAGCTGGCATGAACAAAGGAATCGACAAGAAAGAAGAAATGAGATTGATGATGGCACCTTACGCAAACTGGGATACCTTTCTCACGCCAGCTCCTCTGTCCATCGCTTTGCTGGGACAGTTAATTCTTATTTCTTCGGATGCTGACTTCAGTCTTCAAGACAAGAAAGATAGCATCAAGTTTGAATTTCTGAAATACCCTGATTCGTTTCGTGCCTGTCTAGTGCAGGTCAGCAACAGAGGATGGGATGCCTTTAACAAGGCACACACTTCCATGGATCAGATCCGTCTGTACTCAAACAATGTCGACAAGCACGTCAAAACAGCAGTGAAGTTTCTTATCACAGGGTCAGCTGAAGATGTCCAATCGATGGTCCCCGATGCGCTAAAAAACATTGACGTGATCGCTGATGATTGTTTAGAGTTGGCCACGTCGGTTGAAAAAGAATTCGTTGCTGTGATGAAACTAATTGCGGAACTCCTTGAGGCGTGTACACGAGCGAAGGGTCAACATGAAGAGGATTTGAAAGCCGCAAAGATCGCTCGTGAAGTTGCGGAGGAGCATATGAAAGCCGTTAAAGAGGAGAAACAACAAGCTGTAAGTAGACGAAATGAAATGGAAAAGCAAATGAAGGAGGCGAATGAAGAATTCAAAGATGCCATTAAATCAATGCCTGGCGCATGGGATATCATTGGAAAAGCTTGCGCTGACACCATGATCAGTGCTACTCGCATCGTTGGCACCATACCAAGTATGATGTTGGGAAAACTAGGCTTAAAAACTCGTTCCTCACAAGAATCTCAAGTCAATGAGCCCACAAGAGATTCAAATCGTCCACAACATTCTGAAGGCGCATTGGCGATTTACAAAATCGTGCCTGAGGTTTACGGCCCAGTGGAAACCCTTGTAACACTTGCACATGGTGGCGAGGTCATGAAAGGCGATAAAAAGGCAAAGCATGGAGTATTACGCTCTATGAAGGCACTTGAAAGCATTAAGAGAAATCGATTGGAAGAAGTAAATGAATCATCGATGAAAACGAGAGTGCTGAAGCTGTGCAAAGATGCCATTGATCTTTCCCAAGCCTTGTCTAAGAAACCACAACTGCAATATTCAGAGGAAGACATTGAAGAGATACATTTGCAAGCAGATATGCTCCTCGAAGAGGCCCGCATCTTACAAGGTGTATCGCATTCCGTTCTTGGTACCAACGCCCTTCCAAATACATCTCCAAATCTTGCCAAACAGCCAGCGTACAACAGCGATGGTGGGTTAGTCCAACAAGCATTGGACAGTTATCGATTCAGGACGGAAACAGCGAAAGAAATGTTGAAGGATTCTCGTCGCGCATACGAGGCATCTTGTGATGAGGTTGCGAAGAAATCAAGAGAGGTGACCAATCTTCTTGTCGAAATGAAAGAACTCAACTTAAAAGAGATAGATATGGAAAAAATCAGGAAGACGTTGGTTAAAGGTATTCAAGCTCTCGGTGAATTGCGAGAACAGTGGGGCAAGCTGGTTCGGTTTTTCCAGATGCTATCCAATTTAGTCAAGTGTTGCCTGAGTACCTCCCTCAAGACCTTTGTGCAAACCTCTCGTAACAGATTGGACCAAGGTGACAGTGGCATGTCTGCTGCCATGCGTGACGTCATCTTCGAACAAGCCTTTCAAGCCAATCAGATTGCGTACGTGGTGAACAGCATTTCTAGCGTATACGTGGAGGTGTCGCATAAGCATCTGATGGAGCGTATTACATGTCTTGGTAAGTTGATTGCACTGGATCCAGCTAACAATGAACACGAGATCATGCTGAGGCGAGAAGAGCTAAACCAAGGCTGTGAAGAAGCTCAGGAAGCCATTCGTAGAATTGCTCTTAACAAGAAGAGGGAAATAACAGAAGCATTTGACAAAAGAATTGGAAGAATTGAAAGCGAAGTAGAAGCTTTACTGCCTCCGATCTCGGAAAAGAGAGCTGAAGAGATAAAAGAAAAAGTGAAATCTAATATTGCAATGTCAAAAGCTGACATTGAAGCCGAGGTTGATGACTTGACTTAAAAACTGTTTGCTTTTTTTTGGGTTTTTCGAACTTCATAAAGTAGGGTGATAGTAAAACGGTCAATTTTGATATAGACAGTGGATTTTAATCAACTAGAAAAATAGTTTCCATAGTCCTAGTATGTAGAGCTCAAGTTAAAACGATTCAGTACTGTAATGAATGCATAAAATTTTCGAGGATATTGAAAGCTTGTCTGATTTCACGTGTTCTGTTAAGAGTATTCAATGTGAAACTTCTGAACACTTGACGTTTCAAATCACTCTATAATTATAACATTCGTCTTACTACCGTAGCAAAGTATTCTTGTTAAAATATCTTGTAATGTATACAGGGGCACCCGTCTAGAATATGGTTCAAAACCTCTTAAACATAGCATTGTTGAACGTATTTTAGTATTTAAACGGTAGATATAGGCATATTTTTATCCCTTAAACATGTTTCGTCTGTTCGGATTTGCTAACTGAAAGTCTAGTGATCCGAAAATTATAGGGATCAAAACTTACCTTTTCGAAAATTTCAGCCAGAAAAAAGGCTCCCGAAAACTCTAGATGACCTTTTTGGGGTAAAAATCCGTAAAAAATGAGCAATTATACCATTTTTTAGATGTTCGAAAATCCTAGGAGAGGCAGGCAAGCAAGAAATTTCACGGCAAATGTTGCGAAAATTCTATATCTCAAATCGTCTTCCGAACAGATATTTTCCGAAAATTGACGTTGGGTGTCCCTGATGTGAAGTTTTTGAAGTTTGTTTGCTGATTAATTAAAACATCCGGATTTGCGCATTCACTATGTCTTTTATGTGGCTATTTAAGGTTTTGTTACAGCTCAAAAGCCAAAACATTTCCTAGTCATTTGAGCACGAATTTACATTATTCCTAAACGTGGTGTATTTCTTGCTTCTGGAACAGGAGAGCAGAACAAATAATTCCGACACGGGACACATTTCAATAATTAGTGAAACATTAATTTATTTTGCACATTAGTATTTACACACGAACAAAATACTCTTCCGGATTTTGATATGTTCTTGACGATAAGTTATGCAATGTGTCATGTACACCTAGCGAAGTGGAAAATCATTTAAAAAACCTAAACATCCACAAGTCTAAAGGAATGCGCACTGGAACTACCTACATCGCTCCAGTACATAAAAAGGAACCAATTAAAACGTAAAAAGGAAAACTATCGTCAAATCTCGCTGATATCCATCATTAGCAAAACAGCTGAGAAAATTGAAAAATCAAGAGTCGTCTCATTTTGGACTAAACATCAATTACTAAACCCAAGTCAATTTGGATATTTGAAAAGCAGATCGACAGTGTCGCAACTTTTAAGCTGTTACAAAGACTGGTGCTGAGAGGGGTTTAATAGCGTCGACATGATACGAGGGGACAGAGCAAACTGTCGATTGGACTTTGACATCTCATTAAGGGGACTTAGAAATTTTCTAGCTTGTCTTCTTGGTAAGAGACCCCTTGTAATGGTAGTCGAGTCGTACGAGCCGTACGAGTGGAGAAAGTGCTTGCATGTCCACTTGACAGAGTAAACTGTCGAGTGGACATTTGCATCTCATTAAGGGCATTTAGAAATTTTGCCCGAGGGGGGGGGGGTACTCCCTTATATAAGCCATATAGATATGTGCCGCCCTATCGGGTAGGGTTTTTGCGCCGCTTTGGCCTGAAAACGGGCATACACTTTGCTCATTTTGGTCTGGAATCTGGTATGGTTTTCGAGGAAACTACGGTGTGTATGAACGTATTTATCGTTTCGATTACAAGTGAGTAAAAAAAAGAGAAATATGCGAATTGCAAATAGATTTGAATAAGTTTTTTTGTTTGCGCTCTAATCTAAGTAGTGATAACATAATTTCTGCGTAAAGGCCAGGTCTGAAAAACGGTTAGGGATTTTAGAGTTCTAGTCTGAAAACGGGTGTGGAGAATAACATTTTTTGGTCTGAAATCGGGTCAGGATTTGAAGAAGAACGGGGCGGCACAGCCCCACTAAGAATTCCCCGGGGCACTCCCCCCTGTCTTGTTTGTAAGAGACCCCGTGTAATGGTAGTCGAGTCGTACGAGTGGAAAAAGTGGTAGTTCTTCAGACAGAGTGAACTGTAGAGAGGACAAATGCTTCCATTAAGGGGACTTAGAAATTTACTAGCGTGTCTTGTTGGCAAGACACTGCTTATATTTGAAGTCGAGTTGTACAATTCGTACGTATCGAATGGAGAAAGTGCAAACTCGTTCCCAGGGTTCTCTCCTACCAACCCTACGCTCCGTAGGGCGGGTAGGAGAGAACCCTGGGAACGAGGTTGGAGAAAGTGCTTGTCCCCGGGTTATCCACCGGACATGATCCATGGAGTTAACAAATGCATGTCATTCAGGGAACTTAGAAATTTTCTTGCTTGTCTTGTTTTCTACAAGAGCACCTGCATTTTAGGTACTGGGCAATAAAATGCAGTGCTAACACACACATTGTAGGTTAAGAGCAGTAAAAGCTTCAATTTAGGTGGCGAAGTACGTACATAAACTCAAGCTTACATTCTGTCGGTGTATGACATTTGCAGACTGCAGACCGCACACTGCAGGCTGCAGAATGCAAGACTGTAAATTGAAGGAGACCAAAAATATCGCAATGAAGGTGGCGTCAATGTCAACATTACCTTGTTCCACGCTTCTAACAAAATGAGAAGTAAGGCCCAGAAGCGAAGTTTATATTTTCCATGCAAATTACATAGACCTCATTCCCAAAGGAGCGGTTGGCTGTACGCCGGGGGGGGGGGTCGATAAAGAGTCCCTGAAGAATAGCCAACAGCATCTTGGAAATGGGACCAGACGAGTGTAATTTTGTGCTAAAAATGTCAACCTTGTTCCCAGGCTACTTTCTTACTTTCTTAGAAGCTTGGAAACGATGTTATATTTTTGATGACGTCACCTTTATTAGAAGGTTTTTGGTGTCATTTAATTTACAATCTGCAGTCTGCTGTCTGCGGTCTGGTCTGCTGTCTGCCGTCTGCAAATGTCATACACCGAGATTCTGTAGACTGTATAGCGTTTAAATAGTACTGTTATGGAGATTGGAAGATGCAAGGTACAGTTTTATATCAAGTTGCGTTAGCACGTTGGTCAGTTTTGGACAGGCCATTACTTTAGAACTACTTTGAACACTGGTGAGATACGTGGCCATTTTGGGTTGCAAAGCATTGACGAGCGAGGCGTGGTGCTAGCTTGAATTTCATCCGATTGCTTCAAGTCGTTTTCTCTTCTCAGCAACGTCTGAATCGACCAGCCGTTAATGCCGTCCACTGACGTCACTACTACCCGAAAATCGGGTAGTGATTTTGATTGGTTGATTGTCTAAATATTCGCATAATTATGTATAATTTTGAGAAATTTTAGCGGGATTTTCGCTTGATATTCAGCGGATCGCATCGTTGGCATGATTGCGTGGAGTTCAAACATTTCGATAATCTTTATCATAAACAGCAAAACTGCCCTTTTCTTCGAAACTAAAATGCTGAATTGAACTGGGAATGAAGAATCATTGCGGAGGGTCGGTAGCTTTTTCATTTAGATCCGCTTTATGGTTTCCGCAGTGATTTTGTTTAAGCGACGATTCTGAGACGGCAATGTTGTCATTCGACTTTCTTGCTATTTTCACCGTCAAGTGTAATTATTCTCTGTTAGCTTTTCTTTCTTGTTTCCTAGTTTTCTTTTTTATTCGTTAAGGACCAAATAGCTTCATTTCATTTAAAGAAAATTGTTGTGTTTTTGAAGTAATTATAAGTGTTCCGTGTCGGTATTTATTTCATTGCCTGATTGCGACTAGCCTCCCACGCAGGCGTTTTTAGGGAAACTCGTATTTCGTCCCTGGAAGGGAAGAAATACTAGCTCGCCTAAAATCGCCTGCGTGGGAGGCTAGATTGCGACCGACTTTGAGTTACAACCGGTTCAGCCTGCATGCAGTTGATATTATTTGAACGTTAAACATGAATTACGATCGAAAAGAGTAAAGCATATCTGTCAGCTGTTCTTTATGATGTAAACATTTCCAAACGATAGTTCTTGTTTTGCCACTTGAAAAATCGTGTTTTACTTTTTGCATGAATTAAAGCAAAGGAGTAGTGACGTCACTGGATGGCATTAACGGCCGATCGATTCAGACGTTACTGAGAAAGTGTAATAAATACTCGAAGTAATCGGATGAAATTCAGGCTAGCGTGGTGCGAGTTTGCTCCTGAAAAAATAGGTGGCAAAGATGGCGCAGTAAGTGCCGTCGGTCGTTTAAAACGGTAAATCTTGTTGGAAAACCACCTTTTGTTTGTTTGCTAAGGCACCAACGTCGGAATGAGGTAAGAACTTTTAAGGAGAGATAAGGTGAGGTCTCTTATAAATTTATAAATATTAAAAAAAAAGTGAAGCTTACATACGTATTCATGCATGTGGACTAGCTACAACCGACCGTTCTCCTGTTGTGGAGGTATATTGTCTTTCCTGATAAGTTTGTATGTTTTTCAGCAACTGGCCTTTGTACATGAAAGAGATGTTACAAAGACTTAGAGGTTTATTTCTTGAGTGCTAGTGTTACTCAAGGTTAAATTTAAGGCGGTTTACCTCTAGGCCATGTAACAAAAAAACAAATATTTCTCGTCTTTCTATAAAAAAGAGAGCGGGCGGGCGCTTTTTTTGTTATCTCCGACTTTTTTATTATTTCCAATTGACTGCTTTCTTTACATATGGCTACCCTCCCCATGGACAAGTTGGAGTTCTTAGGTCACATTATTTTAATAAAAAGAAACGTCAGGTATTGATTAAACTCAAGTTTGCTATATTTTGATACATGTTTTAAACAACAACGTAATACATCATACGATATACATGTATTGCGATAGGAAGGGTGATTTAGTGGCCTGAAAGCTCTCGTGATTTTCTTCTTTGGCTCATATCCCCTTTTGTGGAACGGGTAGCAGTCCTCTCGAATTACTAAATCGACCTCACTTCTACACACACACACACACACACACACACACGCAAAAAAAAACAGTGGATCAGCCAATGCAACATAGTATCGAACCTCCATTGTCAAGTTCTCCAGAAGCGATGTTTGTTTCTCCACGAAAGGCAAAAACACTAAAGAAATAGGATAACATAAATTGTTATTTTTTTTTTGGTATTTTTTATGAAGTATATGTCCAAATACTCCCTCGAAAGGCCTCAAATTTTGTCAGTTGCATGACCACCATGCAACTCAATTCAAAGATGATGCTGCAACTAGTCACGCAAACTGAAGGATGATTCTGAAGATTGCACTGCCATTGGGCAAATTTTAAATGAAACGTGTCTACGAGATGGGAACATTTTTGAGGTAAGAAGTGACTTGCGATAGATGATACTGATTTTGATGCACTGGAATGTTTATTAAAAACAAAAAAGCTTTTAAGTGTAATAACACAACTTTCGCAACCATGCCCTTAAGCTACCGTGAAACATTTATTGGCAACTACTAATTGAAACAGATGTTGTGATTTAAATAAAAATTAAAATATTTTAAATAATTATTTCCATAAATTCATGTAAAAGTAAAATCGAAATAGATTTCAAGCCCTGCACCTTTTTAAAACATGTTTTGGTATGACACATGCCATCGTCAGTTTATTTCAATGCACAGCTTAGCATGAGTGTTTAGAGATTCTAAATTCACTTCAATACAAATGCATATTGCACTTAAACGAGACTAACTTACTTAAATCTTTTGCAACCAGATTTAATTAACAGGTATATAACACCAATACTTATTCTGTAATATACTTTCTAGGTGCCCACGCAGAGCCGATAGTATTTAACACAGTCTGATGTCATTTCATTTTTTTAATTCGAAATAACTGAAATGTAATTTCGTTGTTCACTAGAAAGGCAGTAAAAAGCTGGACATCGAATTAAACAGACAATGCCATGAGTTGTACAGAAACTTGTCTTTGAGAAGGCCTGTCATCCTGCAATTTATTTTGCTATTAAATTATGCATCGTATTTCTTAACAAAGACAGACACTTGTGGTTGCAAAATTAATAGCATAATGTCCATATTTGGTGTACTTATACATGTAGGTGAAACCTTGTTTTCATGATACATTTTATGGAGGGGATTAGTCAGCTCAAGAAATGTACCAAGTTTACTGGTTTTTCCCAGAATACAAAATGTTTAGTGCAACTTTGATGTCATAAACTTAAACTATAGTTCCAAAAGTCGTAGTACAATTATTTTTTGTCTGTAAGGTTCTTTGGGCAGATGGACGGAAGCGTTGGCTAAGAGAGGAAAGTCTTCCTGTGAAAGTGAAAAACAAGGTCATAAAAGGGGAGAGATATGAACAACAACTTATGTCCTTCCGTGAGATGACTGGGGACAGGACTGGCCACAATTGATGCTATCAAACAATAGCAGTACAAACAGTGGGGTTTTAATCTTTCAAAGGTAAACTTAGCTATGAACATAAAATTTATCTCAAAAAAGGTTGTTGACTATGGATAGTGAATGAAGATTCTCCATGTTCTTTTTTCTTTTTTATTGAGCAAAATGGAAGTCCAGTCCTCTTGAGGATAGTGTTTAAAACTATTATCTTCTATACAGATGTCTGTTATGTTATTACTGAGGTCCAGGGCTGTCATTAAGAGCCAGGGGTTCGGGCAAGTCACAAGTGTATGCACATGTGCATAGTAAAGAAAATAAAAGACACTGGTAATTATATTTGTTATGAATATGATTATAACTGTACAACAAATTAAAGAAACAGTCAACGAAGTTCTTAAAGTATTAATTCATGTATTGGGAAAGAATGTTATTTTTACTATGATAATCTTTTAGATGCTCTGTGTTGTGATGATGCGTGCCATTTGAAAAGCTATGGCCAAAATCGAGTGAGAAAGGATGCCAGTGATACTACAAGAAAGATGGCCACTATGAACATGGTGTGTGATCGCTTTCACTTTGCCAACCATACAGATAAATGGTGTAAGAAAAAATGCAATCGGTACAAGACTGCCAATTTGGGTAACCAAAGAAAATAATATTAAGGTAATTGAAGGACAATTGTTAAAGAGATAGACTCGAACCCGGGACTCGAACTTGACATATTGAACACTTTGTTACTGAAGAATGAGAACATATCTTTCACTGCTGTGGCTTTTGAACTTAAAGTGTTTGTGGCTTACAGCACAAACACACTATGTCCGCCATCCTGTAAATAAAGTTGCTATAAGCAAATATTGGGTTGAAAACAACAACAGCAATCTTTATTTGTACTGTCACTTTATTCAGGACTTTTATATTATAGTACTAACCGCCTGGAATAACCATAAGGGCGAATGGAGTCAGGGCACCCATATGTAGCCGCCATCTGTCTCACTGACCCCGCTGAACTAACTATATTAATTGTAATTGTAAACTGCCTAGTATTGGATAGTCATTAATTACCTTTGTCCTTTGTGTTGTTTTCCCTTTAGGATGTAAACACAGAAGTCTGCGAGCAGTTATTCTCATGGCTCTCACGATTTTCGCACATTACAAAGCATGTGAACAGATGGCGTTTTCTTTTCTTAATGCTGTACTTATTAGACAACCATAATGAAGATGTTGCAAACACTTTGTAAAAGCCATTCCCTCCTTATGGGAAGAACCCAATAATTGATCTTTCTAAATGCGTCTCAGTTACTGTCTAAAATCGTTTTTGCATGTTTAAGAACTCTTATGCGCTACTTTTGAGCTGCCCTTAAAACCCTTTTTTTGTTAGGATGTTTTAGGGAAACTTTGGCATCTCGTTAATCATAGGGATTTTTTCGCCCCATCAAAAGATTTAGCATTCGTATGGGTCCTCCCGAAAGGTCTTTTCCATAATTTCATTACACATTGTTAGGATTTTTTTTCTTTATACCGAAATGTTAAGGAGGCCATTTTTACCAATGATTGCCTGATCTTTAGCCTGCGTAATAGGCGCTTGGAAGTAACGCGCAGGAAAGAACGGGGCGCGCGAGAGAGACACATGAGGGAATAGGGACCTACTTCTCTGGCGTGTGTTCCTCGCGCGCTCCGTTCTTTCGTGCCCCCACCACTTCCAAGCGCCTGCTACGCAGGCTACCTGATCTTATTAAATAACACAACTCAACCTCCGAAAATGGTAGGGAAGTTAATTGAAAAATGGGGAATATCGTAGATGAACAAATGATAAATGAGGGGGAAATTTTTAGCTTTTCTTAACGTGTCCCACGATATGTATGATTATAAAAGAATATTTTGGCGTGGAAATCTGTTATGTGCAGATTGATATGCCTTATTTACATTTGTATGTGTTAAATAAACTGCAGAGACACTTGTGTGATAAAGTGTGCCTTAAAGTTATTTACAAATGCGTATACTACCGTGTACTACATAAAACACAGTTCGGGGAATCAACATCTCCAGCAAGGAATTTAATTCTAGCTTTCGAAAACGCTGCTCAAACATATATAGTATAAAGTGGGTCGTTTCCAGTCTTGCCCACAAACTAGGTTTGAAATTTAGACGCTTCCGTGCCTCCAAAAATTATAATACAGTGAGTATACTGTGTGACGTGTAGAGCGCTTGTTCCTTGGCGTGGCTGATGACGGATCTTTGCTTAAAGAACGAGGCATACACAGTGTGTAGCGCGCTTGTTCCTTCGCGTGGCTTATGTCAGAACTTTACTTATAGAACGAGGCATACACAGTGTGTAGAGCGCTTGTTCGTTGGCGTACTGATGACGGATTTTTGCTTCAAGAACGAGGCATACACAGTGTGTAGCGCGCTTGTTCCTTCGCGTGGCTTATGTCGGATCTTTACTTATAGAAAGAGGCATACACAGTGTGTAGCGCGCTTGTTTCTTCGCGTGGCTTATGTCGGATCTTTACTTATAGAAAGAGGCATACACAGTGTGTAGCGCGCTTGTTTCTTCGCGTGGCTTATGTCGGATCTTTAGTTATAGAAAGAGGCATACACAGTGTGTAACGCGCTTGTTTCTTCGCGTGGCTTATGTCGAATCTTTGCTTATAGAACGACGCATACACAGTGTAGGCAGCTTGCTCCTTCGCGTGGTTTAATTCGGATCTTTCAGTTTAAAGAACAATGAATAAACAGTGTGTAGCGCGCTTGTTCCTTCGCGTGGCTTATGTCGGATCTTTGCTTATAGAACGAGGCATACACAGTGTGTAGTGGAGGGCCATGAGCGCCTGCTTTTAAAGCTCGATAGGTGCGGTATAGACGGGCAACTGCAACTGTGGTTTAGGGACTTTTTAACAAACCGAAAACACAGAGTACAGATACGTGGATCGTATTCCGAAAGGTCGCCTGTTATATCTGGCGTCCCTCAAGGCTCAATACTGGGGCCGATTATGTTCCTTATTTACGTGAACGACATACCTTACTTCTATACCGCCAAGTTATTTGCTGACGATACCAAAATCTATCGAGAGATAAATAAAGTGGAAGATTCTATTGCTTTACAATCAGATCTAACCACCCTCGATCTATGGGCGGATCTCTGGCAGGTAAAATTTAATTCCAGCAAATGTGAGGTCATGAAAATCACTCATAATAAGGACAAAAGTACCCCACAGTACCAAGTCTCGGGTACTGAGTTAAGAAATGTATTCAGTTATAAAGATCTTAGAGTAATCATGGCGAGTGACCTGACCTGGAAAAAACAAGTACACCCTCGTTCGACCGATCTTGGAATACGCTAGCCCGGTGTGGTCACCACATGAGCCAAAGACATCCATGAAATTGAGAAGGTACAAAGGAGAGTTTCGCGAATCGCCCTAGGCCAAAGACGACAGGAAATGGCGTATGAGGACAGGTGTAAAATACTTGAATGGAACTCTTTAGAACGAAGAAGGGAATTTCTATCCCTGGTGGAGTGTTATAAGATCGTATTAAATTTGAATGGTCTAAACTTCAATGATTATTTTGAACTGTGCCGGAGCACTAAGACGAGATCCAGCGATCAATATATGATCATATAAGATACAAACCAAACTCGCAAAATTAAACTGTTATAAATATTCCTTCTTTGTTAAGATAATCAAGTTTTGGAACGATCTTCCAAGTATTGTAATCAATTGCCATGATAGTCCAAATATCAAAAATTTTAAACTAAGATTGAGGAATCACATGAATATTTATTGAATGGGCATTCTATTCTTTTTTAATGATATTTCTGTGATCTTTATATATTTTTATAAAATTGCTTTGATATAAATGTATATATATTTTTATTTTTTATCGAGGATATTACATGGCCGCGCGGAGATACGAAATTTCTCTTCGAGTGTTGAACGAGAAGAGAAATTTCGTATCTCCAAGCGGCCATGTAATGTTCTCTTTATTATATAAACACCAATGAAATACCAAACCATTTCAATGGAACAGTTTTTTCCTGCGAAAGGCGCGATTTATTGTGTAGCCATCGCAACGGTGATATTTTCCCACGTGAAAATAACATGTTATTTTAGCCTGAATTTCAAACGAGTACTGAGAGTCGTTTTTACTCCCTTTCTTTTTTCTTAGTAACGTCTGAATCGCGGACCGGCCGTTAATGCCGTCCAGTGACGTCAATACTCCTTTGCTTTAATTCATGTAAAAAGTAAAACACGATTTTCAACTGGCAAACAAAGAGATACCGTCTGGAAATGTCTACATGATAAATGATGCGAGCGAGTGACGTCACATGCCTCTTGTTCCAACTAGTTCCAAATCTTTATGTGATTCTCGACCACTTTTTGAATCGAGAAATGGCAGCAAAGGAAATCTGAACTTTACGTTTAAAATAAGTGGTCTTCCTATTGGAATTTTGACTTGAAATTTAGCTAGGTAGGTATTTATTACGTCTACTTTCGAAAGCTGAAAAGAAAAGGGCGGCCAAAATTTTGATCATATTGGCACTTTAAACTCTCTGGAACCCAGGGTATTCCAAACCTTACTTTGCCTGTTGATTAATTGGACTTACAGTCGGGTACCGATAACTCGAGTCTTCTAGGGAAATCGAAAAAGATTCGAGTTATCGGGAGTTCGAGGTAAATAACCGCAAATAAGCAAGTAAGCAAAAAGATGGTGAGAGAATGAAAGTATCGTGCACACTTCACAGTCTTCACAGGGATGGACACTGATTTTGAACTGGCGCTAGTCACAAAAAAAGTAAAGGCAAAGAATTGACCCGGTTGATTTAAAATAAATTCAATGCTTAGGAATTCAGTAAACTGGTACACTGTTTTTTCTTTCGACTTGTCACGCGCTTAAAACATGGTTTGAGTTATCCAGGTTAAAAAATTGTATAGAAATAATCTGATCGAAGGGAAACAAAAATTACTTCGAGTTAGAGGAAGGTTCGAGTTATCGAGGGTTCGAGTTACCGAGTTGCATTACAGTAAATGTATGAAGGAAATCCAGGGAAAATCGACTTTGGTTCGAGTTAGCGAGGGTTCGAGTTATCGGGAGTCAACTGTAAGTTGTTCACGTGTCCCCTTAATTAACGTTCATCCTCCTCTATTTTTCAACACCGCACACGTGCACATTGCATCATGCATATAGTAGGGTAGCTAACTGCTTGGCTATGCCTTTTCTTAACCGAATTCCAAGATAGATCAGCTGGCTTTATTGACTTGAAAGAATCTATGTGGTCGAATATAAGGTCTGCTCATTTAGCTATAACATTGCGTAGTACTTTGGAGGAGGAAGTCTGTGTTAACTATCTTAGCACACAGACTTAAAGACTTCAATTTTGAATTGAATTATCCTCCAGTCGTGACATCTGTGTTTGAGTTCCGTAGGGTTCAGTTTTTGGGCGCCTGCTTTTTGTTTTATATAGATAGATAGATAGATAGATAGATAGATAGATAGATAGATAGATAGATAGATAGATAGATAGATAGATAGATAGATAGATAGATAGATAGATGGATAGATGGATAGATAGATAGATAGATAGCTAGATAGATAGATAGATAGATAGATAGATAGATAGATGGGATAGATGGATGGATGGATAGATAGATAGATAGATAGATAGATAGATAGATAGATAGATAGATAGATAGATAGATAGATAGATAGATAGATAGATAGATAGATAGTCAGTATTCACCTTAAAAACTTGCAGCCAAGAGCTGAATTGCGATAAGTTTACAAATGCAATAATTTACAACTGTACTAAATTACAACTAATTAAAGCGCTTTACAACTAATAAAAGATAGATGATCCAACATAATTTACGATTTTAGAACTGTTTTAAAATCACAAATTCAAAAGCATGTGTCAAGTTCCTATATACAATAAGAAACAAAATTATATCTAGTTCTCAACTATTGTAAACATAACTTAAAAGAAAACTACTCTTGCTTCTTTCAGTTTTACACTTTGAACGAATAAATGTTCTTTGTTCTCTCAGAGAGTAGCTTGGCTGGTATTCATTTGGAAGTAGTTTGTGGAGTCTGTGAGACTGATTTGCACACATTTCATGGAACAACTTTGCTGAAATTGCCTCTCTTCTATCATACAGTGTTAAAAGTCCGGACAGCTCTAGAGCCTTCGCATATGATAGCTCAGGGTAAATGTCTTCATAGCGCGTTTTTGCAGTCTTTCTAGGTCTTCGCTCAGATAACTTGGTAGAGCCTGACGAAAACTGGGCTGCCGTACTCCAGAATAGAGCGAATGCATGTGATGTAAAATAGAAGAAGCTCTCTTGTAGCAACATGCGATTTCTTAAGCTGTCTTAGAAAATACTATCTTGTTGAGACCTTTCTAACTAGTTCTGATCCATGGAAATTCCACTTTAAATCACTGCTAATATTAAGTCCTAACAATTTCACACTGTTCACAGTCTCTAGGGTCTGACGGTTAACTAAGATATGGTCAAATTCTGGTTCGTTCCTTGCGAGGCTAATCCTGAGCTCTTTGCATTTCCTTTCGTTTAACTGAAATCCGTAATCCCTTGCTTGTTTTGTGAGATCGTCTACCACTTGCTGAATACAACTCTCTTGGCCTTTATCTACCACCTCAGAGATTGTAGTATCATCCACATATTTCCACATTTCTGCCTCTCCTGCATTCAAATCCTTAATCATTATTAAGAAGAGCCACGGCCCCTAGCTTTGTTCCCTGAGGAGCACCGGCTGGGATGTAACGCCACTCGGAGAGGCAATCCTGGGCCAGTTTAACTCTCTGTGTCCTACCAAATAGAAAGTCAGCAATCCAGGTTAAGGTGTGGTTCAGAATATCGTAGTCTGAGAGTTTACGCACTAAGATATTGAGATCGAACGCCTTACGGAAATCAAATAAAACTATTCTAATCGGGGCCGCGTTCCCATCAGAGCTGACGTGCCAGATATGGATCATGCTAACAAGTGCGTGTGTAGTGCATTATTTAGGTATTGTCCCATATTGCTTGTTGTCGATTTTCTTTAGCACGGCGGGCATCACAAAGTCATGAAAAACATAATCCTCTGCAATCTTGGACAGGATGGATAGGCGTAATGGGGCTAAGGTGCTTGTTGACGTCTTGGATAGGTCTTTGTTTGGGGACAGGGAAGATATCTACCTCTTTCCAAGATTAGGGCAGCTGGCCCTCGCTAAAGGACATGATGGTATTCATGATATCCATGATGGGTGGGGCCAAAAGGTCTGCGTTCTCCTTTAAGAGCCATTCGGGGATACTGTCGGGTCCTTGTGCCTTGGCTGGGTTAACAGATTAATGACTTGAGGCAGAAATTCGTTACATTAATGCGCTCGCGGATGGAACTGTACTAAATTTTACGAATCTTTTTACCTCGGTGATGGGGAGAGTACTGATTTCGCGGACATATATTGTAACAGTAATACCACTGAATCGTGTGAAATACCTGAAATTCTGTTTCATGAGGGTGATGTAGCCTGTGTTCAGCCGCCTCTCCCTTTAAACAGAAGGGGAGGGGTGGCTGTCCACAGGCTAAGTTTATCCAATTTAAACTTGAGCACATAGGTGGCCATTACACTCCGTTACAAATTAAAATACGTTTCAGATAAGCCACAACAAAAAAAATTGAATTCCGCAACATTTTGAAACATTGCGGTTTTCTTACCTTAGTCGTCGCTAACGAATTCTTGGAGCAAACTCAACTTGTGTTATATTCTAGAGTTACCATGTACTCCCCTATATAACGTTAGCGAGATCTTTATTAGTGACACTGGTCACGAAGGGCCATAAGATTGATATGGCTATTGAATCTGCTATTGTTTTTTTTTCCTAAAGTGTTATATGTCCACCTTACTCATCTCACCTGGTAAACAATCCCAGACGTAACTAATCGATGATCAATCACAAGATCAATGAGTAATCGATGAGTAATCATTGGGTATTCAGCAGATTAGTCATTGATCATTTGCTATGAATGAGCAATCGATCACTAATTGATGACCAAAAATTTTTGGCCTATAAGATTACTCATCGATGTCTTCGATGAGTAATTGATGCGTTCGATTTCTTATCGATTATCTAATGATTATCCATCGATTAGTTACGCATCTTGTACAATTTCTATCGTTTTTTTTTCTTAACTTATTTCCGGTGATAAAAATTTACTTTCAGAAATGGTTCTTGACGATATATAATAATAGCCAAATAGGAATTGAACTGTTGCATGTAGAAAATTAATGTATTTTAGCCATTTCGGAGTTGCGTAGGAAACTTGGGCTGGTTTCAAATTTCCACTAATCGATAAACTGACACCATCATATAAAAGGTCATGTTGAGATTGGTTATTTGACCAAGTTTGGCGCTCTAAAGTTGAACAGGGATCAAGTTATGACTCTTGAAAAATGGTTAAAGATACATACAAACGTCTATAATTTTGTCCCTCAAAACCTTGTAAACTCTTCGAAATTTTTCAGTTTTTCTTTGAAACTGTAAAATTCGTCATGCGTCTACTACTCGGAGGGAACTAATTCGAAAATCACTGTGTTTGCCCGTTTTTAGGAATATCACAGAAAATCGCTTTCTGTTATTTAAGATCAAGGAGGGACTTTGCAGAAAATTAAACCTAAAACCCTTATTTCGCCACAATGAAGTGACTTTACGTGTCAAAAGAGGTCAAAGAAAATGCTCTTTCATCACAGGGCAAATCATGCCGACCAGAAAAAATAACCTCAGAAAATCAATATGCGTGTAACGACCTCTCAGCACGGGGTGGATCCAGGATTTTTTTTAAGGAGGGGGTGCATTCGTCTCTTGCTCTACTTCAACACCGATAAACCACAGTTTTCTTTTTTTGGCAGAATACCAGTTGTATTAGAAAACCGCAGGTCATCTCGGGGGGGGGGGTGCGCACCCCCCCGATCCGCCCCTGCAGCATGAAACTAGGCGGCAAAAATCACATAGTTACATAGTTTGCACAGTCAAAATGTAGACCCCTCCAGAACATAATCAACCCATAAGAGAAAATATTCAATGGAACAAGCAGCATTTTGGCACGAGGTAAAAGTCGTGTGCTGCCTACCGACCCGCTTTTTACACTCCAGATTGCTCACACTCTAATAAGGGATTAGCGAAATGATCTCGTGAGAAATTTGAGAAAGATTCCAACTCTTTGACATTTCAACAGTTTGACAGCCAAAATCTAATTATCTCAAACGTGCGAAAAGTGGGCGGAAGAGGGTCGTAAAAGTTATGATTACAGGGTCTCTCTCCTTTCCTTTTCCTTTTTCCCGCCCCGCCAACTTTTCGCGTGCCTTTTTCTTTCGCGTCTTCCCCCACTATCTGAGAGTCTGGAACAGGTTAGATAAGAAGCGGAAGAGTATCTAGATCTGGACCGCTGGTCGGGTACATAACCAATCATAGATCCCCCATGGAACCAGCCTATCAGCAGAGCCTTTCTTCCCTTTGCTCGATTTTGGCGTACTCAATAAAGACTGAGCACGAACCGAGTAAGATCTTTGTTGAGCATGCGCGGCATATTGCTAGGATATAATTTTGAACCCAGGCCTAACAGCCATGCGCTTGCTACAGCGGGCTCGGTTACAACCATCAGTTTATCAATAAACGGATGCTCGCACTCGGAAAAAACCAGTTTGACGAGAGAAAACGAGATTGACTAGTCCAGAAGTTTGGGCTGCGGCGACCCCAAAGGTTTGACATGATTTAAGCAGAGGCTCCTTTACTCCTCCTCTCTCGAGTAGACAAAAAGAGGCTCTGCTCTCGGGTTGCCATAGAAACCTCTACAGAGATGGATAGAACGCTACGCACAAAATTGTTTCGTAGACATGTCTCTCTTGTTTAATTGCATTATGACCATTAACTAGCATAAATATGCTAATATTATATTTAGGACGAAATGTGAATACCCATAATTGGATATTTCACGATTTTCCTCAAAAACAAGCCCCTGGTAATTGGTAGATTATAATTACTTAACAACTAACTCAACAACAACTTAACAGACCTTTCCTTCATTTTTCAGTGAAAGGACTAAAATAAATTTTAAACTCAACGGCATGCCCCGTGATACCAGGTCGCCGGAACGTTTTTAATTCATACTACTATGAAACAATAACCACACCTTAGTCTACATAGCCGCGGTTACGCTCGTGAGCGCCACAGCGAAACTGACCCATACCTAATTCAGAAAAGGTTGCTTTGGCAACTGGGCATTAGGACAAACGAAACTCAGGCAATGAAATGCTTGTGTGGCCAAACAATAGTATAGCTTCCCAAGGCGTAATAGGCTATATTTTCGAGTAGCCTTAAGCCTCTGTTCAAAGCGAGGCTAAGTCTGAAGCTATAATTGATTTGATAACGTTTCTTTGCTCTTATGCAAATGAAAGTCATTATCGCTAAAAAGAATTTAAACTTGGTTTCGTTTTGAAATTGAGAGTTTTTGGAACTCAGAAATGGCCTATGGCCAAAGCAACTTTTATTAAATCAGGTACATACATTGGATAAGGTCAAAGCGCTTAAATATTAACCAACCAAACTGCGAAACTTGTGAAAAGAGGGGCTTTTACGTTTTACGCTATTGTCTGTCACGCTATTACCAGACGCTCAAGATACAAATTGGTCGTTTCCTTCTAAATCTGATGACTCAACACATTTTAAAGCAATTTAAACAAAACGCCTAGTCCAGGTTCCGCCGAAAGAATGGTTATGGCTCCAAAAATACGAGAAGAAACGCAACGAACATCTTTAAGTTTGTCAACAGAAATGGTAGACTAAACGGTTGATTTCTCAAGTTCCACAGTTACTCCATTTCTAATAGGCCTTCTTTCCATAACGAAGTCACCAACGAATGACGCTCCTTGTCTGAAAGCTGTAGGCTGTTGACGGTGATGTACTCCTCCCGGTCTGCTGTGATCTGTCGCAGGGCCTCCTTGTATCGGATGGGGAACTTCAAAATTGAACAAGGCTACAATGAAAGTATCAAGAATCAGTTTACCATTTCTGCAAGTCTGTAAGCTGATCAATATCAATTTTCTCCTCACAATATGAATAAATAATTGAGAGAAATGGCCGTGAGAATTAATAATACAATTAGTTAACGCCGAGCGAACCTGGCCCTTTTGTGAAAAAAGAAGAAGAATTATCATTTTCAGTAGACATTAAAGAAAAATAACGATTGCATGCAAATTTCAACACTGCCCAAGACTCGTTTAAAAGGTACGAGACATGGACCTACCCAAAATTCGTAAGTGACCTACTTAAGTGGGCACTTAAAGTGTATTTGATACTATTAAGAGGAAACACTGCTCAACGAGACATGAAAAAATGTATTTGCACTACTAAAATAGTAGTTTTATTACTGCTATCACTACTGCTATAGAAAAATACCCCACATTAGTTTCGCGTGCTTGGTCAGTGATCAACCGTACACAAACTCGCAGCGCTGCAACATCGGGTTTGTTTTTCATCCACGGCTACATGAACTCCAACTTCATGTGCTTGACCTTGTCCACTTTACATTCTAATTCTTTTAAAGACAATTGATACCTCCTGGTAGGTTGTTGAAAAGGCATTAAAGCCCCTCCGTCTCAATTAACCTCCCCTCAAATGTGCTTGAAACGAATAAGCTTCCGGGGGAGAAGTTTTTTTACAGAGGATTAAACGGTAGGGTACTTACACTCTTGTCGCCCATCATGTGCTTGGACCTGTCGTTCTTTACTGAATGAAGAACCAAAATATACTCTTCTCCTCCAAATCCTTCACCTCCATCTCCACTTTCCTCGTAATCATCCTCTTCCTCCTCGTCTTCTTCCATCTCTTCTTCGTCTTCTTCCTTATCTGATTCATCATTCTTACTTTTCTTTTTCGTGTCTTTCTCTTTCTCTTTCTTCTTAGCTTTCTGCTTTGCTTTGTTGTCGCTCTTGTTCGTACCTTTCTTGTCCCCTTTCTCACTCTCCTCCGGTTCCTCCTAACATAGTTAGCATGAGACACCTCTCTCAGTAAGGGTTGGTTTCCGCTGTTGCGTAATTTTTACGTGCATACGCACGTAAATTTTGCGCGCGTAAATAAAATAATGGCAATGTATGAAAGGCCACGGGTAAATGTAAAAGTTGAGCGAGTTTCAACTTTTACGTTTATGCGTGACCTTCTGTGCACTAGAGAGTTCAAGCTTCACGTGTATACGGCAAACGTCAGATTCAAAAAGAGAATTTCTCCAAAAAAAAATGAGCCGATAAAAACAGCTCAAAACAATCCTTATGGATAATAAATTGCATTAAACTACTAAATTATTTGTAGAAATAATGAACAGTACACGACAAGTTAAGGGGAAACTTAGTCACAACGCACAAATTCGCGTTTGCCGTTTGACGTTAACGTGATGTTTAGCCTCTCTATTGCCTCTATTTTATTTACGTGAGCAAAATTTACGGGCGTTTGCACGAAAAAAATTACGCGAAAGTCGAATCCCTGACGTACAAAGTAACCCATTGTATGGCACGTATTTTCTTTTAAGAGTTTTTTTTGCTCGCAATCCTACTGCAAGATATTTTTTCTGAAATCACCCATACCACGCCTCAAAAGTCAAACGGTCCGCCCCTGAATAAAAAAGAGGCAATGTAAGGAAGGTAACGTGTAAACGTAAAAGTTGAATCTCGCTCAACTTTTACATTTACGCGCGGCCTTTCATACATCACCTCTATTTTAGTTACGCGCGTAAAATTTACATGCGTGCGCATGTCAAAATTACTCGACAGTGGAAATCCAGCCAAAAGGTGTCATTGTCGTTACTTCGCTTTGGCGCTGCCAGTCTGTCACGCGCTTCTTCTCCACGAACGCCATTTGTTCGAGAGTAACGCGTGACGTAGCTCTTAGAACGTCTGCATGGGATCGGAGGCTAGCTGCATCCCAAGCGCTCTGCGTTCGTTCCAATCATCCCCCATTCGCGCTTGTAGCTCATTTCCAATACCCCGCTTTAAGGCTGTGCTCTCCGCTCATCCTTGAAAAAGTTCGTGGACGAGGCAGGAAGGTTAGTGCTGCACATACCTAGCACAGTTTTTATGTAGGGCCGCAGGGGACTAGCGAGATAGTACCATTACGAATTATAAAATAACTAAGATAGTATGCGCGCTCTGATTGGCTGAGAGGAGTGTTTGCATGAGAGTATGTAAACACTTTTCGCGCGCTAATCACGCAAGCACGAATTTGAAAAAGTTTTCAAGTTCAAAACTCGACAAGTGTACTTTATTTACCCATTCCTTCGTCGGCTGAAACTGGGGAAATCGTTACAAAGAAAGTGAGTTTTAAATGTGTCAATTTTTTTTCGCTTAAGCCGACATTTTAAGCGAGAAAAGTCCGTATTTTGGAAAGCATCTTTTTGCAAAACAAGAACTGATTACGCGTGCAAGACTTCGTGGACAAGACTTCGCGGCTGGTAATAATTTCTCTTTTAATCAGTGCCATACAAACAGTTTTGCGTTTTTTCTCCGGAAATTTATTTTATAAAAGCAATAGAAAACTTTTTTCCTGTGTTTGCATAACCTGATATAAACACTCGAGGCGTTGGGAGAATTCTCGACAGTTATGCAAACCCTCGACTTCGTCTCGGGTTTGCATAACTGTCTCGAATTCTACCAACCCCTCTCGTGTTTATATCAGGCTTATGCAAACACGGAAAACGTTTTATATGGCTTAATTATACGCTAAGTTTCACACCTCTTCCTCTTCTTCGCTTTCTTCTTCATCGTCTTCTTCTGCCTCAGAATAATCTTCGTCTCCGGCAACACCGTCCGACAAGTCCCCGATTAAAACTCGCACATGGTCCGGATGAATCAATCTGATCTTGCTGTCGTCGGACGGCGCAGCACTTTTCTTTTTGCCTATCACGCAGAAAATGTATCATAAGAATACCTGGACAAATATGTTACTCACTTCACGTGAACCTCATCCGCAGGGCCGAATTCATTTTCTAA